CTAGACGTTAAGACATTTGCATACCTCTATACTTCGGAGGCAGAAACAGTAAGGGCAGCAAATGCGTACGGCACTAGAGACCAAATATCTTAACATTGACTGGCGACATATGCACGTTTGCTCTGCTAACAAACGGTAGAGGACAGTTTAGAGGCGCAAAGCTCCTCCACCTTATATGTTAGATCATTCAATGTTGACGATAGAAAGTGAGAAATAGCCCCCAGAAGAGTGCCTATCGGTTCTCGCCCATTGTGCGTTCGTCCGAGCACAGTCTCTTGTATCAAGCATAGCACTTTGCTAATATACCCAAGCTCATAGAATAGAACCTGGGCTGTGATATGCTGCTCAGCAACAATATCAAGTTCGAAGTCTCCGAAATATATTGGTGTAACAGGGAGAGGTTCCATGAGGTTAACAGGGCTCTTGGCAGGTGAGTGCTGATCGATGCGATTGAACACCGTTCGATACCACGACAAGGCTTTTGACATTGTGGTAACAATCAGGAAAAGGATACTGGTGTCTTCAAGGCAGTCGGTACAGTCGCGAGATAGAAGCTGATCAAGATTTTGTGCTGCCGTGCGGTTGATCTTCAAGATGTGGTCATTCGATGGCAAGCCACAGCCCCTTTCCAATCGACATGTGGCCTCAGCACGGTACATCTCTTGCAAAACATCGAATGCTAGACTAGCACATGGGCATAGGTTTCTTGAAGTGCAGGAATCTGGAGGTGAAAAGTAAGACTCTGACATAGCCGCCTCCAGCGGGTGATACGATTCACTTTCTCTGAGGAAAGGTAAAGACTTGATCTCCGGTTGTCCCGGTAGGTTATTTACTGTCGTGCCAGCGTAATCCAATGGAGCTGGTATAGCCGGTAAACCTTTGCTATCATCGCCGCCTGGCCCAATATACATACCGTGAAGTTCACACGGGAAGTCAAATGAGACGGGTTCCAGGCCTGAGAAGAGAGAAAAGTCTGACGAGTTCACAGGGCCTCCAGACATCAGATGTTCGGCCACCTGTACATCTTGAGCTATCGATTGGTTAAAGGCTTCCACCTGTTTGAAAGGGACTTGTCTTTCAGTTCGTACGTAAGAACTCGATAGCCCAGCTTGGGTTGCTGTCGACCGTCCTTTCCACCGATACGGGCCGTAAACACAATGTTGCTGCACCGATTCGCATCGTTCGCAGCGTGGTTTCTTTTTGTCGCAGCGGACTTTCAGAATTGTACAACGGTCACAAGTAGACCGAAGTCTCCTAGGCACCTGGGTTTTATCTGTATGTTGCTGGTCGATTGGTCCTTTGTTGGACATCTCCATTCTGAGACGCTGTACCATATGTCAGAATCATGTACTCAACACCTGCATACATGCAGATGCGTAAGGCTACATACTCATGCCTCACAATGATATTCCGTACATAAATGCTCCTGAAGAATGGCGAGGGGTGGCATCTGATGCACACGAGACTACAAATTACGAATACCTCTATATACGTGCGGAACACTAGCCCATAGAAGCCTCCATTCTTGTTTTCAACCCATACACCTCCCAATCCCTTCGCTAAAGGGCTAGGCAGCAAACAAGGATTAACTTTGGAAAGCTCGTGTTGAGAGAGCACCCACTTAGGGAACATTTCCCGAAGCTGGTAAGAACTATGCGTGAGACGCCAAGGTGATACAATAGATCCCACCCGCTACGATGGTTCAGCAGTAGGTACCACAGACATGGCTGTCCCTAGATACCTGGGGCCCTTAAGGCTTCACGAGCCGAGGATCAATTGGCTGGACAGCCTCCAGTCTTCCTAAGTTTTGTTTGGACCAGTAGGATGACAGGATCTGTCCTACCTTGTGATGTGATAGGGGTTTATAGCAAGACATCTGGACTTGGCCAAACGTGGCTAGCTGTGATATTGATCCCAGATAGAGGTTCATTGGTAGGGTCAACTGCCTTATCAGAGTTCATCCTTCGCAGGGGACGTGATACGAGCCCTAATACAAGGGTCGGAACACCCCGTCACAATGCAAGCCGCTCAGTAGGCATCAACATAACCGGTTTTAGCAACTAAGAAACGAAACTCGTTTATCGCTACCAATAATAGCGAGCAGTGCTACCTTAGCATTCCACTAATGGAAAAATGTAACACTACTAAGAATAGTGCATTGTGAGCTAGTGGAAGAAGAGATACTAGTTGAACGAACAGTGCACTAGGAATGATCAGAAATTCCGGCCCACGGGGTCAGCCGCACATGTAAAATAAATGTACGGTCTTCTTGGACTGGGTAGACATGAGTATTTGGACACTGGGCAACATGGGTGGATTATAAACTCGCCTAGACGTAGATGATGGACCTTGGAGTACGAGAAGCCAAAGAAGACCATTCCATGCATTTGGTTACTCCATGATGCGTATGTAGGATACCAGCGGGTGCTAATGGGCCATCCACAACGTGTCAATAGATGGGTCATTCTTGGCTTGTCATCGACCAAGAGCCCTCCCAGGAGCCTTCCCTGACCTACAACATAGCGTGTGATCTGGGAGAGCATCCGAGATGTTCAACCAAACCTACCGACTAAGTACTGTGACCATCAGCGTGTTAACGTTATGTGGTATCATAGAACCTGGTATAGGTCACTGAGTGCTTCTCAGTCGGAGAGACAAGAGACTCCAGCCTTGCGCAAGTAGGATATCATGTCTCTAGTGCCATTACGACTATCCTGACTTTGCCTTTAAAAATATCGGACAAGCTACGGAGGGTATTTGGAATAATACATGCTGGTGTGTGGTGATACCGCCCAATTTCTCGTATTGAATGTTCAGGGTACCAAGTCACTGTGTGAAACAGGAGGCAAGGGCTATATCAACGTGATAATTTGGACTGCAAAGCCACTTGTTCAGAGTCCGAGAAATACCAGAATAGCTCATTTCTTATGAATAAGCCCCTATTCGCTGCCAGCAAATTAATTGACTCCATGCATGCATTAACCAAGAGGATAGATAGTTGAGTGCATCTGTGGTGTTCTACGGAAGCCAAATATCTATAGCAAAGGTCCACTACACGTACTGCAGATTCCTTTCTAGTGTTGAGTCATAGGAATAGGGCCTAAATCGTTTCCATAGTCTGAAAAATTGATTTGACCTTGTAGAGTGCGAGCGATATACGAGGGCTATGTCATCAAACATGGTCGCAATAGGAAGCGTCACTCTACCGTCGGTCACCGAGAACGAGCATGGACGGATCAAGGCCACTAGTTGACCAAAGCGTACGGGCACCAAATTGTAGATATGTGTTAGTAGCATTCATTAATATCATACAGTGTGATGGATCCTGTCTCTCCATCTCTTGCCTGTCGCAAATTATGTCTGCCAATGGCAACCTCTTTGGTGAAGTAGGCAGATACTAGGCAAAACATTAATTTACGGATACCTAGGCAGCAGAGGTGCCTTAGGATCCACTAATGTGTGGCTTTGCATAGGTACATGGGGGCTACTCGATATAGTGCGCATGATGTGCCTGTGTCCAAGGCACACCTGCCACTGCCTGGGGGAACCCCTAAGAATATCATTCCCCACCAGACGGTCAGACGACATCTACCGATGGAAGACGGTGATGTAATGTCCATATCCTCTGAGATCACCTCTCAGCCTCAAGTGTCACGTTCCAGCCGTGAAATCTCTGGTGCCTGCATCTAGCAGACCCGTGTCCAGCCCTGAACCGACGGCATCCCTGCTCTTGACTTAAGTGATATTGCCATGCAGATGACCTCGCGCTAGAATTCGAACTGGCTCTGATGCTACATGAGTCAACTTCTTCAATATTCAGGTGGACTAAGGTCGGGAAGAAGCGAGCTATAATCTGTCTTGTGGCTTTAAGAACGGGGGTCTGTATAGCTGGTTAGCTTGGGGAGATACTCAATAGATTATGGGCTTTGCCTCCGCTTGAGTTCAGTCGAAATGTTAGGTATTGTCATATGATCAATAATGACATGATTATCGAATGCTATTCGCCACGGTTCTGAGGGCTGAGAGAGAAAGCTATTTCCGGTTTCGTGTTATTGCGCGTGGATATGTAGACCATTGTGATTCGCATGGGTTTCCTTGAAAGGTCTCGAATACCTATAGCACGTTGTAAGACTAAATGCAGCCTAACTTGCCCAGCTAGGCAAATACATGTGCGATTGTTGGTTTGATAGTGGAGGCCATTGTTGCTGAAATTGGGCTTTCTGCATGGCTTCATCACAAGATGGAGAAGGCGGCGCGGTGTAGTCATCGTGAAATGCAGGCAGCCGTGGGATATCTGCTAATGATCTGACTAAGTGCTCTGAACTACAGTAAGACCTATTCCATCTCTGCACATATATAGCATTGCTAAGCTTCGAGAGTACATAGGTGTTTCCCGAGCAGTTCGGAAGGGTTTCAGCTACCGGTAAGCGGTAACCATCAGCGAGCACGGAATAGCATAGCTGATGTGATCCTATCGCCGAAAAAGCCTGAACTCATAAGACCAGGGATAGGCATCTATGGCCATGACCCGAGCACCGTAAAGGCTTGCTTACATCCCGAGGTATCCGAAAGGGAGCGGCAGCTACCGATAATCCATCTTATGGGACCCAGACTATCGGATCCACCCTCGGTATGCTGCCTCTTGTGATACGTCAGAGTCGCTGTAAGATGCGATGAAGTGCCCTGATGTCTGTGAGCAGATGCGCCCATAAGATGCGATGCCCGTATCGAGCCAACCTTACAGTCATCATGAATGCAACGCTGAGGCTAACCCTTTATGTATAGTTATCTCGGTGTTCCAAAGGGGCCAGCCTGGCAGTCTTATGGATGACAGGGCTATTGTGGACAGACATCCTGACCGGACGAGAGCCGGTCACATAGGCTTCATGTTAGACATATAAAGATACATAACCCCAGTAATACCTGCTGCATGTAAAGAATCTCAGTAGCCCTCAAGGCCAGGAGCTTAACTGTCAAGATCTAGTCCTTTCGTCAGAACCATGATCGAGGAGTGCAAAGAGATTGTTCTCTTCGGGGACTTGACCTGTGACTCGGTCGCGGGTCTTCGAGCCCTGGTCAATATTAAAGACAATCCTCTTTTGACCTCCTTCTTCGAACGAGTTACAGCCGGTCTTCGAGAGGAAATTGGTTTTCTTCCGTTCTCGCAGCGTCAACGATTCGTCCGATTTACCAAATTTGAGGAGCTTCTCGCTAGAGCCCAGCGCTCAGCTTGTCCCCATCCTGGACTTGAGAAGGCGTTAGCGTGCACCTATCAACTGGCATGCTTTATCAGGTAGGCTAACTACGCGACTGAATAGTATAGTGTGTTGGACTGACTGGTGAGGGCAATAGGCAATACACCTCTCCCGGCCGCAAGTATCCCTCGATTCATCGGACTTGCCTCATAGGTCTTTGTACTGGTCTCCTCAGTGCAGCGGCTGTGGGGTGTTGCGAGAGCATCACAGACCTCCTCCCCCTGGCGGCACACACAGTACTTATAGCGTTTCGCGCGGGTCTATTTGTTGCCGATGTGCGAGACAGACTGGAGCCGCCGACTGGGTCACCCGTGGCGTGGAGTGTTCTGATTCCTGGCTTAGATGGTGACACAGCTGTCTCGATCTTACAGAGGTATAGTGAGGAGAAGGTACATACGTTGACCCATACATATACGCACCTTGTACTGATACCATCGATAGGGCCTTCCCGCTACATCAGCCCCATACATCAGCACATATGCCAACACCGGAGTTACTCTGAGTGGTCCACCGAGCGCACTTAATGACCTTCTTAATTCAGGCTGCTTCCCAAAGAACCGGTCACTTGCTATTCCTATATACGCCCCGTACCACGCTTCTCACCTCTACGGACAAAGCGACATAGATAATATCCTCCGAAAGGCTAGGGCGACGCAGTTTGCCTCATACCAGTGTCAATTCAGTGTTTTATCATCCATCACTGGACAGAGCATCGGGGTCGAGACATACGGAGCATTAATTGGTCACGCACTGAATGAAATTCTCCGGGAGCCACTTCGACTGGACCGCATCGTCTCTTCGCTAGGTGAGACCTTGCTATCAGAATCGCCCGTAAGAAGCTGCACGATCCTTCCCATCGCCACACTCGTTGGCCAAAGTTTCGCTGCCGCGCTCCGAAAGCAAGGCGTTCCGGATATAATCGTAGACCCGTGCATGAACTCCAGTGTTGCTGTGCAGGATGATCGAACATCCACCACTGGACATCTAGGTCATTCTAAACTAGCCATCATCGGATACTCTGGCCGGTTTCCTGATGCCAATAATACCGAGGAGTTCTGGCAACTACTTCACGAAGGCCGCGACGTCGCCAGCATAACACCCAGTAATCGTTGGGATGTTAAAACGCATGTGGATCCGAGTCTCAAAAGGAAGAATACAATGGGCACGCCGTATGGATGCTGGCTGAAGGAGCCTGGCCTTTTTGATGCCAAGTTCTTTTCTCTAAGTCCTAGAGAAGCACCGCAGGTTGATCCTGCGCAGCGTCTCGCGCTTATGACCGCGTACGAGGCAATGGAATTTGCGGGATTTGTGCCGGACTCAACACCTTCCAGTCAATCTGATCGAATTGGAGTTTTCTATGGCACCACGAGCAACGACTGGGGTGAGACAAATAGCTCGCAGGATGTTGATACATAGTACGTTTTTTTATTTGTTTTTATTTTTCTATTTTATCTGGTTTATTTTTTCTTCAGTTGTGCGCTGTCAGCATATAATTTCCCTTAGTCGTGCTTTCCATTTTTTTATGCTTCTATACTTGGTTATTGCCTATTTCATTCGCAGGCATAGAACTTTGCTGCTAACAGAATTCCCACTAGCTACATTCCTGGCTCATGCCGAGCTTTCATACCAGGACGCCAAAACTTCTTCTACAAATTCAGCGGTCCAAGCTACAGCGTTGACACAGCCTGCTCTTCGGGGCTAGCCGCCCTCCACCTTGCCTGCAACTCACTGCTCAAAGGTGACATCGACACAGCCATTTGCGGTGGAACTAATGTTCTTACCAATCCTGGTAGGCACAATGCCCTACAGTACCACATTGCCTGATACTAACTAACACACCCCAGATATCACCGCCGGCCTTGACCGTGGGCACTTCCTCTCCCGAACAGGAAACTGCAAGACCTTCGACGATGATGCAGATGGATATTGTCGTGGAGAGGGTGTATGTACAATGATCATTAAACGACTAGAGGATGCCAAGGCAGATAATGACCCCATCGTCGCTGTGATTCTTGGGGCCTACACCAACCACTCTGCTGAGGCGGAGAGTATTACTCGGCCGCATATTGGGGCGCAGAAGGCTATCTTCGAGAAGGTGCTTACTTCGGCTGGCGTTGAGCCTTATAGCGTGGGGTATGTGGAGATGCATGGTACTGGGACTCAGGCTGGTGAGTACTACTCTTTCTATATGGTGGAGATTGATGTGGCTTTACTAAGTTGTGTGTTTGTGTAGGTGATGCTAGGGAGATGAAGTCTGTTTTGTCAATCTTTGCGCCTGCGACAGAAAGGCCGCGTACTGATGCTGAGAGACTGTTCTTGGGCTCTGCGAAGGCTAATGTTGGTCATGGGGAATCGGTATCTGGCCCTATTGCTATGATCAAGTCGCTCATGATGTTGGAACGGAACGAAATACCTCCTCATTGTGGAATCAAGACTAAGGTGAGATGCGCTTCGTCCTCCTCGAATGACTACATATTGACTGTACCAAGATCAACAGTGGCTTCCCAACGGATCTTACGGAGCGGAATGTGCACATAGCTAAGAAGCCCGTTCCGTGGGAAAGACCCGAAGGTGGTGTTCGCCGAATTATGATCAACAACTTCTCCGCTGCTGGGGGCAACAGCTCTGTCTTGATCGAAGATGCGCCAGTCTTTGAGCCCAAAAGCAACGAGGCCGATCCTCGCGCTAACCACCTCATAGCTGTCAGCGCCAAGTCGAGTACTGCGTTGGTAGCTAACATCAAGTCCTTGCTGTCATACATGACTACTACAAAGCCAGCACTCCCCAGTCTATCATACACAACGACCGCCCGCCGCATGCATCATCCATTTAGGATCATGGTAAGTGGGTCAGAGCTGTCTGAGGTCCAGGCTCTACTAGAGAACAAGCTCGTGTCTCCTACGGTCCAAAGCCGAACCAGGGCCGTCCAGCGTGTTGCATTCGCATTCACCGGCCAGGGATCGCAATACATTGGCATGGGTGAAAGTCTAATGCACTTCAGTACCTTCCGCAGCGACATCGAGCGATATGACGGCATCGTACAAACACTTGGTTTCCCTTCCTTCTTGCGGCTGATGGAATCAGGAAATGGAGATATTTCGGACCTTCCTCCACTGGTCGTTCAGGTCGGAACGGTATGTATCCAGATAGCCATGGCACGTCTATGGCGATCTTGGGGAATAGAGCCCTGTGCTGTGGTGGGTCATAGCCTCGGTGAATATGCAGCACTGAACATCGCTGGCGTACTTTCTGAAGCAGACACCATTTTCTTGGCTGGGAAGCGGGCGCAACTGCTGCAGGATGAAATTTCAGCGAATAGCCACGCCATGCTTGCTATCGGCACTAGTGTGGACGAAGCGAGGTCCCTGTGTGAAGGTCTGGAATACGACGTCGCATGCATCAACACACCAAGAGAGACCGTCTTGAGTGGGACGAATGAGCAGATCGACCGGATACTCGATGTACTGTCTCCTACGAACCTCAAGAAGACTAGACTTCGTGTTCCATTTGCATTCCATTCTTCCCAGATGCAGCCCGTGCTTCAGAAGTTCAGGGCCGCTGCACGAGGTGTTAAATTCTACGAGCCAAAAGCTCCTGTCATCTCGCCTCTCCTTGGAGAGGTCGTCACCTCGAAGCAACCATTTGGACCAGAATATCTAGCTCGCCACTGCAGAGAAACTGTCAACTTTGCCGCTGCACTCGAAAGTGCAAAGACGGATGGAGTCATCAGCAGTGCACTGTGGATCGAGATAGGAGCCCATCCCATTGTGTCAGGATTACTGAGAAACAATCTCGACTCAACAGTCAAGACTGTTCCAACCCTGCAGCACAACAAGGACACCTGGAAGGCACTTACTGTCAGTCTGTCTACTTTGTATGAGTCTGGTGTCGACATCAGATGGTCCGAATATCACCGCGACTTCATCCCGAGTCTTTCTGTCCTACGACTCCCATCTTATAACTGGGACCTCAAGGAATACTGGATGCAATATGTCAACGACTGGTCCTTGTACAAAGGGGATGCACAGTTCCTAAAGGGGGCACCTGGGCTATCGACTACCTGCGTCCATAGGCTCGTCGAGGAGAAGGACGGCAGCAAAATCACCGTTGTGGGTGAGGTGGATGTCCTCCGCGACGATGTGGACCCGTTTGTTCGTGGCCATCGTGTCAATAATCTGCCTCTCGTCACTCCATCCGTGTATGCCGAGATGGCACTCGTGATTGGGGAATATCTCCGTAAACAGCAGACTCGGCTTTCTGGAGCCCTAGTGGACTTGCAACATATGGACGTGCAACGACCGTTTGCGACAAAGAGTAAAGGGAAAGGTCCCCAGCTTTTGCAATGCCATGCCATGCTTGATTGTGAGACCTTCCAGGGATCTGTGGAATTTTGGAGTGTCACACTAGAAGGTAAGAAGTTAGTGAGACACGCAATCGCTAGCATCACGTTCCCAGATGCAAAGGCCGCTCAGGAGGAGGTCCAGCAGCGTGCGGAGAGTATTCTACAGGAAATGGAAGACATGGCCGCAAGAGTCAATACTGATGAGCGAGTACAAAAGTTCACCGGCAAGACCGGATACAACTTGGTATCATCACTGGCCTCCTATGACCCCGAGTACATGGGTGTTTCCTCGGTGCTCCTGGACAGTGCCCGGTTGGAAGCTGTTGCGACTGTTAAATTCAATCATCCTCGAGCAGATGGGGTATACCATGTAAATCCATACCTGATTGATAATCTTGGACAGCCGGCTCTCTTCGTTATGAACGCTAATGACCAAGCCGATCTCAGCAAAGAAGTATTCGTCAACCACGGCTGGAAGTCCCTGCACTTCTACAAGCCGCTGTCAATCAATAATACCTACCGATCACACGTTCGGATGAGCGGGCCAGATGCTGATGGCCTGTATGGCGGAGACATGGTCGTGTTCGAGGGTAAGGAAGTTGTCGCCCTGTACAAGGGTATAAAGGCACAAGGAGTCCCACGAAGGCTCATGGATTATATTGTTCACATGCGAGACGATACCAAAGCCGGTGCTCCTGCTGGGGGAACTCTTAATGCTGGCCATATTGCTGCACCGAACTCAGAAGCCGATCCGTTAACAGAGACTGTCAGTACAGCCAACGGCCCAGATAGTTGGAAAGCCGCACTCAAGATAATATCGGAGGAGAGTGGTGTCCCGATCGCCGAACTGTCGCCCGAAGCAGCATTCGATGATCTAGGCGTGGATTCGCTTCTTGCGTTGCTCTGCGCCAGCCGCTTCCGCGAGGAACTAGGCTTGCACTACGAGTCATCTATCTTCCTGGATCATCCCACCATCAAGGAGTTAGAAGCATTCTGGAAGCAGGGGGCACCCGAGAGCGGAACAGTCACTGTGAGCGGCCGCGACGCTGTCCTAAACTCCATGTTTGCCGAAGCAGAGGCAGAGGTCGACCAAGACAAGAGCAGTAGCGACGGGGACCGATCATCACTAGGCACCAGTTCGTACGAAGTCATCAATGCCAACACGACAGAAACCACAGCGGAGATCAGCAAAACTTCTTCACTCAAGATTTCCGCAACCTCGCTTCTCCTACAGGGCAGCCCAGCTCTGCCCTCAACAGTCAAGACTCTATTCCTGCTCCCAGACGGCTCCGGATCGTGTTCCTCCTATGCAGGGCTTCCGCGTATCCACCCATCCATAGCCGTCGTAGGCGTGAACTGCCCATTCATGAAAAGCCCAGAGGCCTACACATGCGGCATCGACGAGGTCACACAGATGTACATCACAGAAATCCGGCGGCACCAGCCCCATGGACCGTATGCGCTCGGTGGATGGTCTGTGGGCGGTATCTTCTCCTACCACATCGCACAGCGGCTGTCAGCGCAAGGCGAGCAAGTCAGCGAGTTGATTCTCATCGACTGCCCGGTCCCCAAGGGTCTGGACCACCTCCCACGCCGCTACTACGAGTACTGCGATACAATCGGGCTCCTTGGCGACGTGAACGGAGTGAAAAGGAACCCGCCACCCTGGCTGATTTCCCATTTCGAAGCTTGCGTCAACAGTCTGCATTCGTACCACGCAACACCCTTCGCGTCTGACGACGTGCCCCGTACACAAATCATCTGGGCCTGCGACGCGATCGACAAACACTGCGAACCAAAGTTCAAGCGCCGACCAGACGACCCGGAAGGACTGAAGTTCCTCACGGCGACTAGAATTGACTTTGGTCCCTGTGGCTGGGAAACTCTCCTCCCGGAAGAGGATATCACCTTGGATAGGATGACGGGGGCCAATCATTTTAGTATGATGAAGGGGGGATTTGCGAAACGCTTGAGTGAGATGATTGAGGGATTTTTGATGATTGGAAATTGAACTATTAGATCTGTTTTGCTTCAATGCTCTGTTTGTGTTTTGTTTTTTCTATGCTTGGTAGTTATATTTATTGTTCAGTGTCCACAATGCAGTTTTCACATTAATAATGCCTTGTTCTTTCAGGGACACATATAAATGCATTAACAACATGCGGAAACCTCAATAATTCTCAAATGGTATCTGCTATTTGATCCAGATGGCGACCGTCCACAAAAGCAAAGGAGCCTTCATCTATTCGACAAAACAAAAATCCCCATAGAGAAAGTTTCCAAATCACAACTACAGTTTGCCTACACCAAGTAATTTATGAATATTCCAAGTATTACCTAAAAATCAGATTAACTCAGGCCATTCCTACTCATATTTGGTATCACGAAACCAAGCTAACTAAACATTACCACAAACACAATAACAATCCAGCAAATACTTCCTCGTCCACCCCAGTCTTTAGTATAAGAATGTCAGTCTAAGACATGGCGGGAAAAACAGTTTCATCTCACATAAGGATCGAAGCAGCGTGCAAGGTTCATAACTACACTTGCTTCTCCGGGGTTACTTGCGTAGCCGAGACGCCAGTATCCTCGTGCGCCGGATTAATCTTGAGATTGCCTTCGATGATCTCTCTCTCGAGCTCCTCCATCCGACTGCGCTTCTCGAGCTTGCGCCAGGCGGGGAGGCCGCTGTCGAAGACATCGTCCATTTCCTCTAGTGTGAAACCTTTGGTTTCGGGGGCGGTGAGGAACATGTGGATGAAGGCGGCGGTGTTGAAGGCAGCGAACTGTGATACGGAAAGAGGTTAGTGAACGGCAATGGATATGGAACTGGGTAGTACGAGTAGAACATACAATCATGTACATCTTCCAGTTGATCGACCATAGCAAAGGTGGGACGAAGAGGGCCAGCAGGCAGTTCCAGACCCAGTTGGAGGCGGTAGCCAGCGAGACTGCTTTGGCACGGACTTTGGCAGGATAGATTTCAGCCGGGTAGGTCCACGAGGTCGGGCCGATGGTCGTGGCGAAGGAACACACGAACAGATAGGATAATGCGATAATCGCCTTCCCCACGGCGGGGTGGTCGGCGACCGTCCACGAGATAGCAGCGAGCTTGGGATCAGTGCCCGGGTTGGGCGCTCCAAAGCCTCCTTGCAGCCCACCTTCCAGGTAGAGGAAAATCGCCTGGAGGAAGAATCCAATGAGAATCGCCGGGCGTCGGCCAAACTTATCCAGGTAGAGAATGGCAGGTAGGGTCAGGGCCGTGTTGAGAATGTACTGAATTGACGCGGTGAGCAGGGGTGATCCGGCGCCGGTGCTCTGCATGATATAGACTATCGAGTTATCAGCATCATGCAACTTGGTCAAACCAATAATGGCTGATTGTCTATCCTTGTATTAGAAATGTCGAACATACCGATGTAGTACATCATCACGTTCATGCCGCACAGCTGCGACCACATCTGCAAGCTCATACCCAAGATGACACGCTTGAAGATGCGAGGCTTGACGAGCTCCTGGAAGCCAGTGTTTGTTTGCTCCCGCTCCAACGCCAGAGCCTCCTGGATTTCTTTGTATTCGGCGAGGACTTTGGGGTGGTTGACATCTCCGTTACCGTGCAGCTTCGATAGCACATTCAGGGCTTCCTCCCAACGGTCTTTGCTAGCGAGCCAACGGGGAGACTTAGGGAAGAGGAACATGCCAAAGAAGAGGATAACGCCGGGCACGATTTGGATTCCCCATGGAATGCGGAAAGCAGCTGTACTCTGCGTCGGGTTGTTCGGGCCGCCGTCGATGTTGCTCGCGCCATATTGCTGAAGGGTTTGTCAGTATGGGAATGGCTGTCATGACGAGCACGAGAGACCCACAATGAAATATTGAATCAAGATACCCCACGTAATAGCCCATTGCTGCAGCGATATAACTCGTCCTCGAATTTCTTTCGGTGCGATCTCGGCCTGATAAACGGGGACCATTGCAGACGCGATACCAACGCAACCACCAGCGATGACACGACCGACGACTAAAAGAGCGATTCCGTTCGACGCACACATAAAGCTGGTAGAAATTAGGGCAATTCATTATTTGTCATTTGAGAGTTGGTCTCACTTACACAGAGCCAATGATCCATAGAATAGAAGAGAACTGGATCGCCCTGACACGGGAGAAGCGATCGGCAATAAAGCTAGAGCACAGCGCACCGACGAGAGAGCCAAACGGCATCGCACAGGTGATGCTGCCCTGGTAATAATTAATACACAGAACCACGGTCTGAGATCTAGCAAAAGAATTACTTACCTGTTTGTATTGACCGCTACCAACTTGGAAATAGTTGGTATACGCAGCGGTCCCCAGGACGCCTTAACAGAGTGAGCTGATGTTTTGAATCCCAGGGCTCTAGCATTTCTTACCACTCATCGACGAGATATCAAAACCAAACAAACCACCGCCTGCAAAAAAAGTCAGTTTCATGTCTCCGACCTCTCTAGCAGACACGATATGCTCACCTAGAGTGGCAAAGCCACAGAGAAAGTAGACGTTGTAGATTTTCTTCATGGTGACAGTTACTGTTGACACCCGGTCAGCGACGCAAGAGCCAAGATGGGATCAAGCAGAGAACATGTGAAACAAGTCCCCAGGGACAGGAATCGCCGTATGTTTAAATATGCCGACTGGCTGCAGTGAATGCAGCTTTGGTCGGTTGTCCGAGAGTCACTGGTGAATTTCCTCTAATGTAACACTGCGTGTCGGCTGACGGGCATGATTGGAGAGGAGGGATCAACAAAACAGACCCGGGACAGCGATTGGGAGATCTTTACCTTGCCAGATGATAGAGAATCACAAGTTGCACGGCGTGGCGGACGCCACCAAATAAGAGGCGTGGTTGTGATTCGACGGGACAGGGTGGTGTCTATGAGTTAGAGTCTCGTATTTGTGATCATGGGGGAATTCAACCTTCCCCGCAGTTGTGATTCTGGGGTAAACAAGGTCTCTTTGAAGCTTTTAACCTTTTCTTCTGTTGCTTAAGCCTTTGAGGTGGGACAGTGGATAAGGCCAGTCTTGCAGGAAAACATCGTGCGATGCCACTGCACACAAACAAAGGAACCTGGGGGGGCAGGCACGAGTCAGGGCCTGAAATCAGTTCCAGGTCCACGTAACTATGATCCTGGACTCTCTGCGACCTTCGCCTTCGAATACGACTCTGTCCGTCCCGTACCATGAGTCTCGTTAACCCTAATTGAGTTAAAGAACAAAGAGCTGCAGAGCTATGCCCCCTTGATAGGCGGATTATCTCCTTGGGCCCTAATCATGTCCAAGCGCGCCAAGGCTGCTTAACGGGTCGAAATAAGACTCCCAAGACCTTAGTGGCTACAGGCGTTACACCACATGGCACTACGAAGGGTAAAAAGTAACATTACTAGTCCTAGTAGGGCACAGACGATGGCAATCAACCAAGGGCAAGCAAAGTTCAGTCTTCCTCCCGTGACCACGAACCCGTCCCAAGCTTAGGGTTACATAAATGTCACGTTCAATCAACAAATCCCGCGGTTGGATTTTCAATCGACACCCGAATCATTCCAAATCGTTGGTTGAACATTATGCAGGGGTTTGCAGGACTGTCCTTTTTCTTTGGCCATATTGACTAGTAGTAGAAAGCTATTCAACTGAGTTTGTCACGGCGTTATATATGTTCACCACTCCTGTGAGCTATCTCCGAACGATATTTGCGTAACTTAAATTGCTGAAACAGCTTGATGGACTCATATTTGACAATAGATCTATGATGGCATGATAGGGCTCCATAGAACTAAAAGTGAAGATGGCCCTTATCATCGTACCTACCTACTACATGGTAAGCCCGTGGTGAAACCATAGTAGGATCTCCTCAGAAAATAGAAAACACTAGAGTTACTGATATATTACCAACCTCCTGCTAGCATACGAACTTTCAGCTCATTCCAGGCCAATGTAGTTGCGAACACCGCAGGGCAGAGGTTACTATCAGCGCAAAAGTGCTACCAACGTAGTTATATAACAATAGCTAGATTATCGGTCTGATACCATAACACAACGCGCCATTTATAACCAGCTCCTAGATGGCCACAATGCCTCAGCCGGCTCACTCCCGGTTCTGGCGAATTCAATCTCATTGCACAAATTGAGGGCAGAGTTGAATGCACCCTTAGTCCAACATCGTTCAATTATCGGACCAGGCCAGACACACTGGGTACTAGGAAGATCCTCCGGGGCCATCTCCCTTCACTAAGTTCTGGTGGGATGTCTTTAAAGATGTCAAATTCGCACTTCTCCCCAACCACTACCTCGTACATCACAGCTCCAAACTGCCCAATATCTGTTTGCATGGAATAACCCCCAGAGTCAGCCGTCTCCATACAGGTGTCAAGGGGCATTATGATGGACTCGGTAAAATCGCAGAGTTTGATTGATAAGTCAGAGTTGAGCAAGAAGTTGCGGCTGGCAATATCTGTCACAATAATTCGTCTTTGGTGGACATGTGCAAGTGCTCGAGCCATTCCACGGAACCAAGAACGTTGGAGATACTTCGACGGCTTATTTTGGCTTAAATATGAACGTAAAGCCCCCTTTTCCATTAGAGGCAGTGTTGTGGCCGTCTCGGAGAAACCCAGGACAGGAACAACATGGTCGCATTCCCCTAAGGGCTTGTATATGGACTGTTCGTGTCGAAGGGATTCGATATTCGCTTCGACTTCATCGTCGCTGCTTGTACTCCATCTGAGAGGTAGCTTGATAGCAAGTTGCTCCCGATGGATAACCAAGCCTGTCCTGCCAATGCCCAGAATTTCCTCTAATAAAATGAACCCACGGTATCTATATTGTGGGAGGATGCCATTTAATTGTTTGCTACAAACTCTAATGGAAAATCTGGAAATTATTCAGAGAAGAATGGATTGTTGACTGAATCAGCTGAAATACAATGTCCAGTTACGCAAGGGGCTGACAACTATTATATACCCTTTGTTGATCATTGGTGTGTAAGCCCGAGCCAAGTCTATCCAAGCCAAGTTCAGTCCCTCGCTCGATTTCCCCAGGAAACCTGCGCACAAAACTAAAAGATGCTAAAACAACCAAGTAAGTGAACAAGAGCATTCATGGCCTTTCACTATGAATAGTCTCCTGCATAAAATCGACAAGGTCATCATCCGAAAACGCAATCGTTGCATCCTCGGTTATACCCGGAATGCGAGGCATTTCATCCAAGATCAGCTCTAGCGGTATAATCAAGGGCGCATGTCGAACCCTTCCGGTGTCATACTCCACGCTGACCTCATGTGTGCATTCTGCAATGCCATCTATCTGCTGCCAGCACTCAAACACGATCTCCTCGGTAGAGAAGGCGACTACCAGGACTAAATGGGTGAAGCTGGAGGTATTCTCCAGCCACAGACGCGCATCGACTCGAAGCGCATCAAGGGAAGCCGTATCGCCGAATTCCATAATGAGTGACGGGTAACTATCGGGTCGTCTGCTTGCAAGTGGGATATACGCCTGTTCTGCTTCTAGCCGCAGTCCGTTGTGCATCGTGTATATTGTCGGGCCGACGTGAGAGAGTATATCGGAAGTGAGGCCGTGATGGTGTTGATATTTACGAATGTAGAACCTTTCGTACATGGCCTCACTGACTCGCTCGCATAGCGGCGATTTGAATTTGATGACGAGGGTATTGTGAGCGGGGAAGACTCGCACTAGGAACGTACGAGGGCGATTACACGCTCCCCATTTCTTGAAGTCGAGGAAGTCGGCGTCGGACACCTGTGTGAATGCTATGTATTGTTCGCCGCCGGTCAGGAAGGACCCCAAGTACTCGTTGATGAGCTCTATGACTCTTTGAAGGTCAGTGTAGACCTCCAACATCACATCTTCGCTTGGGTACAGATCCAGAGGATGCCTCTGGGATGCTGAGATGGTCATCGTCCTGGCTCTGGGAAGTTCCAAACGCTCTGAAAAGAAAGATAGTGGTTATTCTTTTTTTTGATGTCGAGCAGTCTAACGTGAGTAGAGCGTGGACACAGTGTCCCCCCAACGGAGGGAAATGGATTTTTCTGAGGGATTTTCGTGGAGAGCAAATATTGGTAGAGAAAAGATGTATTCATCATGATGAGCACGATATTAGCCGCGTGATGGTCTCAGGACTGCCAGCCCATGGCCTGCCTACTACTCTTGCGCAGTCTTAAACAAGGATACAATTGCCATCATTACGTGCTTCCGTCGCAATCGAGATATATCGATCTGCTATTGAGAAAACGGCAACTGCAACCAACACGCTTGGACCAGCCCTTGCCTTTGACGAACCGAGAAAGCGAGGGAACCATGAATATCGCGCATTATTTCTCCTACGGAGTCGTACAACATACGCAATGGGTCAAAACACGGAACTGTTAGCAATATACTTCCATGGGCAAAGTTCAATAAAAGATAGAATATCTCGCATCATTTGCATCACTGAATTACACCAAAGGTGGCGTGAATCAACGAGCCACATCCATCAGATTCGCAGCTCGCAAGTCCAAAACCGCCCGAACATGATCATACTCGATGTCAAGGTCCTGCTCGCGCGCCAGAAGATGCGCTGTCTTCACCACATTCTTAATCTGCCGGCCATTTAGTTTCACCTGGGCAAGAGAGTCCAGCTGTTCCGATGAGAAGCCCATGCTGCCACCCAGGAACTGTGCCCAGATCTGGCGCCGTGAATTGACGTCGAGGGCAGGGTACCGAGCCGACATATGGATCCGCGACTCAAACGCCGGATCGATGCTTTCGGCACGATTGGTCGTGAGGAACAAAATACCCTATGCAGCAAATCAGCTTGACGCTTCATACGTTGCAGTACATCAGACCACTTACCTCGTAATATTCCAACAGTCACAAAAAGATCGAAACCAACTCATTTCGCACCAGATCTCTCGCATTGCGCGTCTCCATAAGCATATCTGCCTCGTCCAGCAGGAGCACAGCACCCCACTTCGGGACCATGCGAAGGATATCTTTCAATGCCTTCTCGACGTTCCCAGCAGATGTGCCGAGGTCGCCCGCACTCAGGACGTACAGAGGAACCCGCATGGCTTCTGCCACACTCTCGGCCGTGAGTGTCTTTCCTACTCCAGGAGGACCACTCAGCTGTAGAATGACGCCCCTACCCTTGCCCTGCACGACATCGTCAAAGGTATCCATCTGCTTGGACTGAGCCTTTGCGATGGCCAGAATCAGACAATGTAGCCGCTGCTGCTCTGCCGGAAGAACCAACGAGTCGAAGGCTTGTGAGTCCCAGACAATATCCCGCACCCCTTCAAGAGGGACTTCGAGCCACTTTTTATCCTTCAGTGAGTACCCACGCTGCATGGGAGTCGCCAGAAGCCGCTTTTCATCGTTTAGTGGTTTGAGGCAGGGATCAACCTTGATAGAGTGGTTGGGGTTGAAAGTATTGAACGCCTCGCCGTCAATAATGATCCGGCTCTTGACGCTGATCTGGATGTGTCGTCCCATGAACTTGGCGAACCCAGGTCCTTCGTACTGCTTGCAGTGATACCCGCTGTATTTCTCCCACAATTTCCCCGGGGCAATGAGATTCTCCTGCACGGCGCCTGCCTTCGGGTGAAACTTTAGAGGGAAAATGGGTAGGGCAATAATTGGCTGTGTCCCTTCGAACAGGCAGATGTGTTCGTCATGCATCCTATATCCAAAGCTAGTTCCATCATAATCGATGTACATGGAGGACACACCGAATACCCCATCAGAGCTCAACGTAATCGACAGCAATTCGAAGACACGCTCATGATCGTCATCGACAGAATAAAGATGGGCTCCCGGTTCAAAGATTGCCCAAAGAAAGACGTGAGTGATCACACAATTGTGGATGAGGTCCTTCTTGTGGGTAATGATCTCACCAAGTTCTTCTTCCAGAACTCTGTACAGAAGGTCGACCACAGACCTTGTCGCGGAGTCTTCGATGTCCTCCCGGGCCTTGGAGAATGCCTCCCACCGGTGGATAAATCGCATGAAGGGCGTCTGGATTTCAACCCGTTTCAGCGCCATCGTCAGGCCGGGGTAGCCCTTGAGGAGCTTATTCAGGAATTTCTTGAGCAAGTCACTCTAAACAATAATCGAGTGAATCTGAAGGGGTTTACGGCCATCGTAGCTCTTCATATTCCGCACAATCATTGCGTACTGGCCAGATTCAGTATTCTCGACCGGGACGGTGAGGTCGTCAGGGTACTCCTTTGTCCACGTCGTGCAACCCGCTCAGTCCGACTTCGTCTTGTAGACGTTGCGGGCCTCGCAAATAGATCCGGCAGGGGCGTACTTTACGCGCTGCGAGTTCTGACCTTGGTGGGGATTAGTCTCTCTCTTTCTGGTGTTCTTGAAGGCTAACTGACCTGAGGTCATCAGAGTACCTCTCTCATATGCAGCTTCGTCTTCTGAGAATGGCATTTCACTCTCACTATCGCCGGAGTCTGGGTCTTCGTGGTATGGCATGAACATTTGGCTGAGAGTATCTCCCGGGCATATCAGACCGGTATTGAGAAGCGCTGAATAGAGGTCCTCTCTGGGATAAACATGGTAAAAGAGCAGGATACCTGGCAGTTAATAGACAATTAGAAGCAACAGCACGGCCTCAACTGGTGTATCACATCCCTGCTACTGGGGTACGATGCCTGAGTCACTGTCTCGGGAACAGACAGCTCCTATCTGCCTTGGCTCTCTAGTTGCCTTAACAGTGGACAAATCGGACTCCAATAATTCTGCCGGTCGCCTATATGAGCCTTGTTGGGTCAGAGGCTGCCGCTAATCAAAATCTATCTACCCAAGTAATCAGCCTAGAGTGAGGAGAGATGTGCACGGAGCTGTCTGGAGGCTCTTCCAATAGTTGTCATTGGACGATGCGATCACGTGTCGTCGCAAGACCCTACCTAATTGATACAGTGAAGCTTCCCCACTGCTGTCGGGTCTCTCCGATATTAAATGTCTTAATTTTGTGGAAAGCATGGAGGAAAGTTTGCTCTTGCCCAAGAGGTTTCCGGTCATCCTATGGACGGGTCATTATGGCCGTTTGCAGATCGCCAGCCATCTTCACGCCTTGTAGCACAAATGGCCTGATTCCATACGTAATAACGCAAACGCTTGAGGTTATCCTACCCAGCTAGAGTAGCCTAGATTGGATATTTCCCCGAGAATCATGCTCACACAGCCGAGAATCATGCTTGACGCGTATTGCTATCACGGCGCACTGCCTCACTGACGTCTTCCGTACACTTCTCCTACGACATCTACTCATATGCAATCCAGATTGTCTCAAATTAAACTCCCAGTTAGCTATAGCGAGACCCTTTAGTTACGAGCCAAGGCAAAGCCACACCAGCCATCTCACCTCTGGGCCTCAAAATGCCGATACACCGCAACAAAAGCCTCCAACCAGGCAATCTCCCTCTCATCATGAGCGTCATACTGTCTCGCCCAACCGTCCATGGCATAATTCAACGCATCCACTGGACCCCTGGGAATAAAGTACCAAGACCGGCCATCCTCATGCATGGCTATTCGGGGTAACCGACCCTCCTCCTCCTCACCACTATACACAACCCGCAACCCCTCAACCACGACCCTGACTGACACACCCACCTCCCCCAAGCCCTCCGTCTTCTTCATCAACACCACCTCATCACCTCCATCGCCATGCAACCCACACTCCACCCCCAAGCCCTCCAACCCCCGCAAAACAACACCCAACGTCCGATCAAACGGCACCAACGAGAAATGGCCATACATAAACCACGACGTACCGGTCAGCGTATGGCTCCACAGTAAAGACTGCCTCGCAACCCGCTTTTCGGCGCCCCGAATCCGCCCCACAATATGCGGGATATTCTTCCGCGGCGTCTGGCTGGGATCGACCATTTTCTTTAACACATCTGGATTAGCCTCGAGCAAATCAGCCGCCTTATGCAGCTGGACAGCCTTCCGCGTATTGACTTTCTGCTGCGCGGCTTGGATGGTGTTCCACCCGGCTTCTAGCCCGGCGATGGTACCTGTCTCCCACACGGTGGGGAGTGGGGCGTAGCGACTCAGGACGTCCACTTTCCAGGGGTCAAGATACAGTTCGTCGATGAGGCGGTGGCGCATGTAGTTGGTGATTTCCTTGTAGTCTGAGTTAAATGTCTGGGCGTTTAGGGCTAGTGGAGATGTCAGCGGCGCTGCGGTGAGGCTGTGGGCTGCGCAGACTGTGCGGTAGAGGTCTGCTGCAGCGCGGACTTCATCGAGGACGCTGGTGTCATAGTGGAAAAGACGGCCTAGGGTCGGGTGTGTGAGGATGTCGGTGTTAATGTGGGCATTGTTGTGGCAGATGAGCCGCAGGATGTCCCAGATGCGGATGTCGTTGAGGATTTGGTGGGCCAGCTCTCTGGGGAGGGTGGAGAGGGAGGCGATGACTTTGTGGTTGGGCGCCATGTTCATATATGTATCGTATAAGTTGTAGTAATTCTTTTTTTGGGGTGTTGATACTGCGTAGGGATTGTTTGGGGATGGAGGTGGGTAGATATATGTCACGAATACGTGCTAGTAGATCCTTAGCCGCAACAACCCTACTAACAATGGGGCCGGAAACTGAGTGACTCATGGATGAAGGGTTCCACTCCCCCCACCCAACATCTCAGCCTCAGGGTCCGAGTATATAGTTCACGCTATGTCCCGACCCTTCGTATCCATCATATCCAAGTATCCTGCTACAAGATGATCGAGACGAAAGAGGAAGACTACGCCCAGTTCATCCAAACCCAACCCCCATCCACAATCGCAGCATGTCTGCGCCGCGACCAGCTCCTCTGCCAGGAGAAGCATCTCCCCAGTCCGCTCGCCATGCACCTCCCAACACAGCCCTGTGAGCTCCTCGACGCAATCTCCCAACACCTAATCCCAGATAGCAGCATCCCCGCGCCCCTCCGCAGGCTGCAATGCCAGGGCATCATCAGCGGGATCAAAGCATCCGTGAACCAAATGAGCAGCATCACAACCTGGACATCGCCAACCACCGAGAAAGGCACGGGGTTAATCCCCAGAACACAGGATTTCCAGTCCGCGCTGCGCGTGCTAGAATACCTCCAAAAGTACCCATCCATCTCGCAGCTCAGCAGCACCAGCAGTTTCACAGACGTGCTATCCTCCGTGAAAACGCAACTGGCATTCGAAGACGGGCTGCGCGCCGTGAACCACCTACACATGGCCCACAAAGACAGCCGCGTGGACTCGAAAGCCAGCTACAAGGCCCGCAGACGCAAGCGCAATTGCTACATGTGCCATTTCGAGATCCGGGATGGCGAGGCCCACGATACGTACCCGTCGCTGTGTCGCCCTTGCGGCTCGTTCAACCTGGCTGAGTCGGCCATCTCGCAGCCCCCGAATCTGGATTTGAAGGGAAAGACGGCACTCGTCACGGGCGGCAGAATCAACCTCGGCTACGAGACCGCGCTACGCCTGCTGCGCTGTGGAGCTAGCGTCATCGTGTCCTCCCGCTATCCGCGCGACGCGGTGCTGCGGTATGCCCGGGAGGTGGATTTCGGGGGGTTTTCGGCGCGGCTCAAGGTCGTGGGGGCGGATTTCCGCACGGCGAGAGATGCGTTTCGGCTTGTGGAAGTCGTGAAGAGGGTGTTGGATGACTGGGCGGGGGATGGGACTGCGCTGGATATTCTGATTAATAATGCGGCGCAGACGTTGACGGATCCGGTGCGCTCAGAGACGAGGGCGATCGTGCGGGAGGAGCAGTTGGAGGAGGAGGCTGGGGCGCATGGGCTGATTGCAGACGATGGGGAGCGGTATATGCCCAAGCTTCGCGGTGGGGTTGGCAGTGCCTGGGGCGGCATTGAGGATCGTGTGCGGCTGCAGATTGCAGGTAGCGCGGAGTCACAGTGTGTGGAAGATTCTGGAATCGTGCAGAAGGGCTTGGGGCCGGGCGAGGATGAGTCAAGGTCGTCGTGGACTCAAAGTCTGGACCAGATCCCGTATGAAGATGTGATCAGCGCGCAGGCGGTTAATGCGTTCGTGCCGCTGATTCTATGCCGCGAGCTCTTGCCCCGAATGGGGGCTACGAGCAAGTCGTCTCGGCCCTTGGGATACATCGTGAACGTGTCCTCGCGGGAGGGGATCCTGGAGAGCAGGACCAAGTCTGCGAGCAAAGCGGGCCACCATGTTCACACGAATATGTCCAAGGCGGCGCTGAATATGATCACCGAGACGGAGAGCGAGTCGGCGTGGAAGCGGCATGTCGCCATGAACACGGTCGATCCCGGCTATATGAGTGCTGCACCCGAGTGTCAGCGGGCAGACGGCTGCCCGATTGGATTCGAAGATGGCGCTGCCAGGGTTCTCTGGCCGATTGCTATCGGAGAACGCGAGCATCGGGTTATCCGCGGACGGTTCATGAAGCATTTCGGACACCATGATGCTATTATATCGCGAGGAATATGATATACTCATTATAGTTATGAAGCTAAAACATGGGCTAAGTCGTTCGTATATCGTCATATACCATGGCAAGAGCATGGGAATATCGGCTTCATGCCCTATCCATCCTTTTCTCCCTCACCCAGAAATACCGTAGCACGAACAGCATAATCAACATGCAGACATCCAGCGCTAAATTCCAACTATATCCAATCAAATACCTGGGCGCATCAACCGTCTTCCAGACACTGTCGATGTAAGTCAGCGTAAGCATCCACTACACACACGGGCGAGAGTCACTTACAAAAGTGGAATCCACGCGCCAAAGGTATTCCCAATAGTGTTCATGGCACTAATCACCAAGGCCCGTTCCTCCGCACTGCGTGCACAAATCTCGTTCGCCCAGGCATAGATGATGGCCGCAATACCGTCCGCCGTGCCGGACAGAAAGAATGCGAAGAATTTCAGCCCGACCGGAACGTTCCAGATCGCAAGCACCAGACAGGCAAAGATGTTTAGCAGCGCAGTGATCGCGATCAATGAGACTTTGGCATCGTAGATATCAGAGATCACGCCGCACACAATCGAGGCGACGATAGTGACGGCTGGCGACACGGTGGTGATGGTGTTGATGGATTCGACGGAGTACTTCTCTTCTTTGAGCCAGAGGGACAGGCCACTATTGGAGGAGACTCCGTCCGCTTGGGAGAAAAAGAAGGCAAAGCCGACAAGGACCCAAATACGCCACCCTTTCAGGATGGTGACAATTCGAGGGATAGTAAATGGTTGACGTGGCTCGCGGTGTTCGGCGGCCATGCGTTCCTGTGCTAAACGAATCTCATCCTGGGTGAGGTAGCGGGAGTTGCATCGGTCTGGGGTACTAGGAAGTAGACATAGACCGATAAAGGCAATGGGAATAGTACAAGCAAAGCCTGTGGATCTCTGTCAGAGGGCACATCTGTGAAAGTAGGGGCGATACGGCTTACAGATGATGTATAGCCATCTCCACCCTTCGATGCCATACCGGCCATCCAGCCGTGCATAGGCACCGGCTTGGATATACCCCGAGCTCATACTGCCCACCTGGCTAGCGATGAAAAAGATAGCTCCACGACGGGCCAGCTCCGATCTCTTATACCAACAGCCCAGATACCATTGCACAGCAGGGAAAAAGAAACCCCCAAGGGCTCCGACGAAGAAACGAAGCGCGTAAAGCTGGGTGACGCTGCTGGCCTTGTACTGAGCCAGTGTAAACACGCCCCAGAATAAATCTGCCGCCGGGAGGAAATAGTTCACCGGACAGCGGGTCATCTAAGCTGTCATGTTAGCATGTTGGTATCAACTCCTCGCCAATACGCGACTAACCAACAATGTCAGAGGAATCTGCATCGTGATGAATCCAACCCTGCATGACAAGTTAGAAAGTTTCACCTCCTGCACGACAGCTAATAACGAGCTTACATGTACACCGTGTTTAGATAATTAAGTTGATTCCCATACAACTTCAGATCCTCTTTCATACCGCTCACATAGGCAGTACTCGTCGCCGACGAATCCAGCACCTTCGCCCAATGGGCCAGAAATAGGAAGACGATGATCAAGCCGTCCAATTTGAGGATCAAACGGCGCTCCGCTGGAGTATCTGTTGGCGCAAACCATTGATACCATTTTTGCCGCTCTGCCGTGGGCTGTGCAGGTTGTTCTGAGCCCTCTTTTGACTTAGATCGTTCGACATCCGACGTCTCTGGTGGAGGATCAGCGGTAGGGGCTGCCTTTTCAATCGGATAAGACATGGTGCATATGTAGTGCCAAGTCCTGTTTACATATATCAAGCACGTTCCTCGCTTTGCATGTCTGTGCAGTTGTTTTGGTTCTGAATCCTAGGGGACTACTTTTTTTTGATCGTGCAAGCACGCCATCGCTCGCGTCTGTGGCGAGAACCAGTTGGGACCGAACTAATTGATCAGCGGGGATTAGCGTTCGGTTAAAAGACGATGCTTGGTTGGTCTATGCAAGGAGCTGGTTTATCCTGCCGTCTTTATCGATTAGCATCCGCAGCTTCGCCAAGATTGAGAGGTCGAACGGTGTACTGCTCAATTTAGCTAATGAAAACAACGGAACTAATAATTTTCATATCAAACTAACAAGGATCATATGTGATGTGGCTATGTGTATATTTAATCAAGACAGTAGTGTATGGCTTGGTGTTGTTGTGAGAAGAATTCCCCACGCTGGGCTTCCGAAATATATGTTTGCACTAGTCACCCATCTGACCAATATATAAACGTACCTCTTGCCCAACTCCTTTCAATCAGGATAGCGAATCTCAATAGTATATTGCCCCTTCTGGCTGAAGGTAGAACCGAGGTCCCAATCATACGCGAGCTTATCAGATTCGTCGCTGTGGAATGTTAAGGCTCGCCGCTGTCATTTGGCTCCACTGTTTCGAGCCTCGACCGGGTGTAAATCACAAAATGTAGGCACTAATAGACCGCATCGTATATTCCACAAGCATCAAAGCTCCCTAGAGACAGATGAGCTAGTTTATTACCCCCAAATCTTCTCACTGTCAGTGATGGGGCCTCATAGTTAAAAAGAAAATGTACCGCCAGAACCCTCGACGGCGAAGGTTAAACAACGTACCCCTACTTGCAGCAGCAAAGCAATATCAAGAAGTGAGATGGAACAGTATTGCGAATTGGACATAGTAAAGACAAACGAACTGAAACGTCCTGGCAAACATATCTCATGCGACACATATCAATTCCACGCTCCAGCACTTTTGTGATTCATCAACAAGAGAAAAGAAAAGAAAAGAAACAAGCTCATGAAGATCTCCAAGCCCAGGATATATCAACGCCATTCAACGCCACCGCACAAGTGATAATCATCATCACATAATACACTCCACCATGAAAGTGGACAAAGGGCGACCGTCAGAGCGACTCAGAACCGCGACGAGCCATCTTCCGTATCTACAGTATGACCACATCCATTAGCCCACTCACAATTGAACAAGGCCTATAGAGGAACACCAGACAACGTACAAACCGCCGATTCGAGATCCCTCGGTCGTGGTTCTTTCGTGCGCGACTCTTGTCGAAGACCCCCTAGGTTTTTCAACCGCACCGACCGCATATAGAGCTCCTGGTCGCGAGAATAATTGTATCGATGCGCAGAATGGTCGGTGGGATAGACCTGTTTCCACATGGCGGCGCCCAGCGATACCGCGGCCAGACAGGCGACAATGACGATAACGATGATGCCCGCAGTTGGGATACCCATGGTGGTCGGATGTGTCGGATGTGGACCGGCGAGGGTGTGTCACGGAGTAAAGGCGTCCTTGATGAAGGTGACTTGGGTACGACTGGTGCTGTCAGCACATGGTTTCGTTGTCGGTATGTACCGTTCCTGAGTGGTTGATGGTGTCGATGAGGTTTGTTTCGCGACGGGATGCGGATATAAGTAGAGGTTCGAGTCCAGCCCAACGCTTGACTTCCGCCGACCCGCGAGTTTAAGTAATGGGCAAGTGATTGGTATCACCGACTTATGCAAGTCTCCCAATCCCAACTCTTTCGATGCATCGGGAGGGCCGCTTTCTATCACGATTGGCTGGTCTCTGCTACTTCCGCGTCCGAGTGGAGCGACGCCGGTGAATCTGATTGGAGAGGTATGGCTCCTTTCTTGGTTTGGGAAGTATTTATAGCCATTGATAGCTGACGCTGTCTCCAATTTTTTTTTCTTTCTTTTTTTCCGCGTTAGGGCATCTTGTCACGTTTACCCTACAAAGTTGACTTGAAACGCCTCAGACCCAATGGTTCATCCTCACCGAGGTTCAAACCACAACGGTCTCGATCCACTACAGAAAAGGTACCGGGCGACGGGCCACTCGGGCTCCGAGTCTAACAAAGCTTGTTCGTCATCGTGCCTGTTTTATTCGATGCCCTCCATTAGGCAGCAAGAATGACCTCGGCGTTAGCGGCAGAGAATTCACGCCGGACGATCAGACCAGCTCCCTGCGTTTGATCGACACGACACAACTGATTCATTCATCGTTGTTTCTGCGAGATATTCCTCGGTTCGACCCGTCAGCTCTCGCTTACTACTAATTTAGAGCTAGTTCGCTGCTAGTAAGCACTGCCACGCAGGAACCATGTCTCAACGCTGTAGTAGACGCGTTAATGGGCGGGAAATGTTAGTGCCTTGTCTTTTTCCCTCGGCACTGTATCCAGCCGAGGAGATCGCATGGATTATCAAGACAGGGAAATAGGCACCATCTTTCTTTCAAATATTCTCTTAATATATCCTGTGCTAGGTCCACTCTGTCGAGGACTAGAAACGGGAGTGCACAACATGAGTTGCGGAGAGTTATGTAACCGTACTAGAAATCTTTCCACCAAATCTGAATTTCAAGTGGCTGTTGCTCTATTATGGATATTTAATTTCAGTGGTGCAACGTTGGACAGAATGCAACGCTGACAGATATGAAATTGCATGTTTCAGAAGTAGCATTGAACAGGCAGCCCTCGGGGGTATTGCTTTCATAAGTAGATTCATGTGTTCTAATCCGTATGTACATTGCGGGGAATCACCGGTATATCGCTAAGGAAGTGATTTTTCCAGCGTGACAAGATAGTAAAGGTTGCAACTTGAAATAGTACATTGACACTGCCAAACACCTACCATTCCCAACCCTAAATCATCAAAGCCTATTCTTCTCCACTCATAATTGTCGATATTATGACGCATCACCGATCTAACGTTGTCAGACCGCGTATTTATAGCCATACTAATAGACAACCCATATTCCCGACCAGTACCCGGGCTTCTTGCCGAAGAAGCCACTCTTTATGGGTTCTATAAAGAACAACTATGATTATAAAACTCGTACATGTGGATCCACTAAAGAGCTCCAATCCATATCCTAAAAATATCCTTGTCATGACTGGCTTGTTCTTTTTTCAGAGTATTATTAATATCTGGGAAATGAGAAACAGCTCTTACCAGCGATGATCATATCAAGAGCTGCCGAAATCTATAATATGAATAAAATGATTACAATTAAAAAGTGATAAGCCTACCTCATATCCAAAGTCACTAGATCAACTCGATCCGTTAATGATAATATCAGAGATCTTCTCCGCCAACATATCTGTAAACCATCAGCCATTGTCCGCTCCATGCTAAAAGTAGGATAAAACTCACAAACCGTCGACTGAGGATGGCCCGGAGGGAGGAACGGGAACGCAGAAGCATCCACAACACGAACACCCTCAACGCCATACACCCGGGCCTGATTGTCCACCACCGCCATTTCATCGTCGGCGGTACCCATCTTGCAGGTACAGGCGGCGTGCCAGAGTGTCATCACATTATTTTTGATGTATTCCAGGATCTGTTCGTCGGTTTGCACGCGGTTCCCGGGGTTATACTCTTCTCCTATGACAGCCGGTGCCATGGCTTCGCTCTGGAATGCTTGGCGGATCCGCTTGAACATTGCCACTGCTACTTCCTGATCAGACTTGGTATCGAGCCAGTTGGGGTTGATGATGGGTAGGTCGGATGTATCGGCCGATTTCAGGGTGACATTTCCTCGCGACGTAGGGGTGATCAGCACACCCAGCATGGAAGCGTACTGGTATCCGTCTTTGGGTTGGTCTGTCAGGAGGTTGGAGACGGCACCCATATAGCCTGCGCCGGAGATGTACTGCAGTAATAATGTTAGTGGATACTAGGAGTGTAGACGCAGTAATGGACCAAATACCTCAGCCTCTGGCCAATCACTCGTAAAAGTGGCCAAGTCCTTCAGCGTCTGGCTTGTGAATTTAGTCCGCAGGCTGTCAGGGATCTTCTCCCACGCCAAATAATCCGCCACCGGGTTCGTCAGAGGCCCACTCTTCATAATGGAGGAGTTCAGAAAGTCTTTGACGAGGTTTAGCAGGTTCGTCGCGATCCTAGTGAATGTATCCACAGTAACCCGGTATGACGGTGCAAAGAACGGATGGTCCCACATATTCTGTCCAACACCTGGTCGATTAGCAAGTACTTCAATATTGTGTTGGTCTAGTATATCTTTTGGTCCGATGCCAGAGACCATCAAGAGCTGCGGAGATTGAAAAGCACCTGCAGAAATAATCACTTTCTTTGCGCTCAGGGTAAATATATTGCCCAGCGGGCCCTTGACCCGAACTCCCGTGGCCTTTTTATTCTTGTCAAACAGCACCTGCTTCGCCAGGGTATTCGAATACGTGGTTAGGGAAGGCGTTTTTATGGATGCCAGGAATGCGCTCTGGGAGCTGCTCCGGAGCTCGTTCTGCGGGCTGATGGTCGAAGCGCAGTACTGAGCGCCCATTAAAGACCCGAGATTGAATTCTTGGGTCTGGTTGATGCCGATAGCCTCCATTCCGCGGCTCATCCAGGTTGAAAAAGGCATCGCGTAGTTCGCGTATGATACTTCGAGAGGACCGCCTTGGGACTCATACGCGGCTGCGTCGAAACCAGTCGTTGCATTCGCGAAGCGGATCTTCGTGTTTGGTGGTGTGAAGCGGACACTTTTCTTATAATAAGGCAGGACCTGGTCGAAGGTGTAGCTGCTGTCATTGACGGCCGTTGCCCACTGTTCCATTGATTCACGCGTCGGTCTGACACTGCATTAGCTCAGTCGGACATTCTCATCTCAAAGTGACCGACCGTTGGTAAATCATGAAGTTCATAGCGGATCTGCACAGACTCATCAGTAAACATCGGCCAACTTTTGGTAGAGAGGAGCACATACGAGCCACCTAAGCATTTTCCTCGCGCATAATGTATCGATCTCCCATTCGCACCGGGGACCTTCTCCGCCACAAACCCCCAGTCATGGAGAGCTTTGGTATTGGGATCCGATCCAACAGGAAGAACGTCTGCAGCGGGAACTGCAGCTACCGATTCCAATTCATACAGTCCACCTGCCTCTACCAGGGCCACTTTCAATGACTTCTGTGCCAGCCGGGTGGCAATGACATTTCCGCCAGTACCGCCGCCGACAACAACGTAGTCAAATGACGAGTCTCCAAAGGCGCGCGCATCCACCCGAGATACGTATGCATCTGGCTCGGTACTTGGAACAGCGTTCGTGCCTAGGGTTAGTGACTGCAGCACGAACGATGCAAGCGCAGCTCGGCGCATCTTTCGGGTAATGTTAGGCAAGGGAATTCCATCGGAGCTTGGAATGGTACTTACTTTGATGTGAACCATGTAGTATTAGAAAGGGAAAATGGCCGGTATTATTTTGCAAGATCTACTATCAGTCGTCCCAACCCCAAGGCGTGAGAACCTTGACACATATAACCACCTCCTGAACATGATATAGTCCACTCCGATATGAAGTCGGCTGTCCACAAAATGAGACATGCCTGCTAATTCCGAGAGTCTAGCTAAGAGTGAAGATCTGACATCAAGCCACAATATTCAATCTATACTATTTGATTTGCCCGGTCTCATTTAAGAGGTAGGAATGAAACAGCCGTGCTGGTGTCCTACGTATAGACTAAAACTATCCTGGCAGATATTCCGATCTTGTCAGGCCTCAAAATCAGGACTATAGCGAAGGCATGCAGATCGGAAATTAAACGTCACGTCCAGGGGCTCGTTTGCCTTGAATTCAGCACATTGATCTGGAACATACATACTCTCAAAAGGAAGAACTAACCTCGTCGGTACTAGTCCACTCTCTCTCTCTCTAGGGCTTATTCGTTTGGTAATGATCGTTTGATATCCGAAGTGGGCTTGCAACCAAGCTGCTTCGGCAATACCCCGGGGTAAACGAAAGTATCCCTGGCTAGTGTAAGTCCAAAAATAGGTGGAGAGAGCGAATGCAGTTAGTTTTTAGTTTCAACATGGAACTTGAACCCCTGATACGCGAACGGTTCCCTCAAAGTCAAAACCCAACTTTGAGTCGGATCCACAGTCATCGTGCGGACCCACTGTTTGGTTCATGACTGACTCGTGGAGGAGAACAAGAGGCCGCTCATACTCGACTTTGCGTTCTTTTCTTCTATTCTTATTTTATCTTAATTTTTTTTTTTCTTTTTTTCGTTCGTGTGCCAATTTCTATCTCGGGAGAGAGGGATATCCACAATGCCTTGTTTCGCATTGCGGGCGACTCTATCTCAGGGATGCAGGTCGCCACGAAATGCAATGCGGCTGGCATGCACATCTTCCAGTACCGCACTATCGCGGAACTGATGCATCATCTTGGGATTGCCGGGCGGGCGGGCAATGCTACTACCACTCAATTACCTCTGGACCCAGTTCAAGAGTGAGTTGAACTCGCCGGAGGACGCTGGTTTATGGCCATGTCTCCTCTAGCCTCTATCCCCTAGAAAAGTCTCTCGCGGGCACGGATGTGGAACTTTCTTGATGCGCTCTGTTTATGTGAAGGACCAGCGCCGACGCATCCCGGTCAACGGGTGGGCGTACTTCACCTTGCGCTACCTCACCGACGAAGGGAACTTGATGTATGACCTTCGGAATCCGGTCGTAGAGATTCTGTTCAGCCAGCGATTGGATTTGGGTGAGGTGGAGTATGGTATTGATGTGAGGACGGTAAATCATGTTGCCAGGGAAGTGTGGGTTTATTCCGATCTTGATGAAAAGAGGCCGGGAACGTTGCGGTTGAAGGGTTACGGGGCCGGGTTCGATGCAGGACGAGTATGGAACGGGGGAGTTGGAACATTTGGTTAAGGAGAAGGTTTTGGAGTTCCTTTAGAACCCCTGACAAGGACATACATAGTTATTATATTGATTGATAAGAACGGTGATGAAGGTGTTTGGTGAGTGGTGAGTGTTTATGCCCGAAACCGATCGTAGTGAGGAAGGACTATGAACATACTATATGAGCCCGCGAGGATGTGCGCAAAAAATGTTAAAAGCAATCATATTATGTTGATAGGGGATTCCAGCCGCTAGGTCGTGTATAAATACATAAAAATACATAAACTTCTTATATAAATAGCCTTCGATTAGCTTATCGGTAGAACAGCCCGGTATCTTACTATTAATGAACTTATTCAAATTGAATAGTTCTCCAGAATCTCAATTTAGTCCGCCGTATATACTTAGTAGGTACTAGTATCCTGCACTACATTCATTCCAGGGCAAGAAATTGGCAATGAATGAAAGGTACGCGTGTCAAAGCAGTATCACAATACAGATAATAGACATATTTTCTTGATAATCAAATCAACCATTGAGAACCTTGGTTGTATAAGACATTGCATAGCTTGCTGTAATCCACGAATTCTCTAAGCCCACCGTCAGAAGATTGTCCCTCTAAAGACACAGGTGTGTTTCAATAGCATGATTAAACCCACGCATGTCCAGGTATATTGTCGAAGCCATGTACATGGCGTCGAAGATGACGCGTTTCGGATGATCAAGAGAACTTTCGCAAGTAAACTCAGCACTTGGTGGGATGTCTGGTACTCTCCACCATAGTAGTTGCGATTTCCAAGAGATACATAGTTCCTTGAGCATCAGAGTTCAAGAGCGGCTGACATCACTGTGGATTAATATACGTGCGCATCACCGGAATTTTCGCCCTGGATCTCTTTCTATACCATCATCTTTGTATCTCTACCATCTATGCTATAATATAAACGATATATTCCAGCGAACAGCGATAAGAGTAATCTAGGTGTTAGTTTCTCTGCGGTTACGTCAGATAATGATGTGATTGCGACTATTGCATGTCTTGTTCATTTCCCCTTCTATGGGTCATGTTGTTTGTAGCTTGCGAGTAGTGTTTTTATTTGACCAGAACGCCGTGATTTTCGTAGGGGTGTGAAATCAGGTTTATTAGGATGAATTTGGTTATGTATTGTGATTCGTCGGACTCGGGGTGTCAACGAAGGCTGTTAAGAAAAAGCACTAAACGGTGCAAAAACCGACCAAATATATGCAATATGTGATATCATTGAGAATATCGAAAATGGTATCTCGCTCTATACAAAACGTCTATATCTCTGTACAAACAGGCGCTCTCATAAGTCTCAGCGTTTCCCGCGGAGACACTCATGCAGTGGGGTAAAATCGGAGCCACCAGCAGCACACATCGGTCTGGGCATATGTAGTAACCGGGTAAGTCGCCCGTGTGAAGTAGTATGTACCTACACCCAGAACAACAGGAATGCATTCTCTCGTCATGAACGCCTCCCCCTCACCGCATGGGAACCGGCCCGGTCAGTGAGGGTGGGTACGGATGCTTAAGTATAATATAAGCAGGCCCGCGATTTAGGGTTAGGGCCCGGGTAAGGGACCAGTTCAACCCGATCCGGTCATTGCCAGCCACTTCCGAGTGGGTCGTTGTCCACCAGTGGCCAATCCGATCGTGGCGTGAGTGATTTTTTTTTTTTTTTGCCTTCGCGATAAGATAGGGATTAACTCAGCCCTCGTTTTCATACTCCTCCCCGCATAGCTGGAGTTGCTGGTGCATGAATGCCCGCCCCTCGGTATTGGCGAATCCACCAATGCCAAATGCCGGGATGATCCGGCACATGCGCGTCAGGGACGCACCGATCCAGTCTCGGCTGACGCGGGCGATTCGGTCGCGAGCGGGCAGCTGCATCGGGCGGTTGTAGAGGTCGAGGCCGAGGAGGTGGATGGGTGTGCTGACGAGCTGGATGGAGGCGGGGATGGCGAGTTGGGCGAACAGGATCTTGGCGTAATCGCGGGAGGCAATCCAGTCGGGTACGGAGCTGGATACCACGGCGGGGAGATTGAACGAGCCGAAGATGGTCAGACCGTCACGGAGAAGGAAGGCGGAGTAGGTTGCTAGTGGCATGGTGCGGATGGAACGGCGGAGGAAACCGCTCTTGGAGACGGGGGTGGGATTGGGGATGGGGCTGGTTGGCTTTGCAGCTGGGGGGTGACCGAAGAGCTGGGCGAATTTGACATCTTTCCAGATGCCCACAGACGAGTTGACGACGAATGTGGAGAGGAACGTCGCCATTCCCGCAATGGCGTGGTCGACATCAGGGTAAACCCGGTCGAGGATTGTTTCTGTGGCATTTGCTGCTGCAAAGGTTGCGGTGTAGAGGCCCCAAACTAGAAGGCTCGGGCGAGATGTGAGGAAAGTCGCTGGCTGAGTGATGGAGAGCCACAGATGTCGGCGGAACGCTGGCAAGAGAGGCTGATTGTGTGAAGACTTCTCCACGACAAGTCTAGTACTGTCAGTAACATTCTTCTGGGGTGGAACGGTTGCGTTATCGATGCTGTAGGGCAAACGTACCGGTCAAGAATCATGACGGCCGGAGTGATCAGTGATGCTGAGCCTGCTGCAGCTATCACATCTGCGGTAAGGAGTTCCGCCAGGCGGTTCCTCTGCATAGAGAAGGGAAATGCCTGGTGGATAGGGAAGTCTTGTTCCATGTTGATTGCGGTAACGTGCTCTCGAATTTAGGTAGACCGTCAATCCATATATTATTTACTGGGGTAACGAGGGTTGATTTCAGGGCGCGTCGTTTCAGGCGTGTAACCGTGTATGTCTAGTGACTCAACAGAGGAAAAGAATAATAATCAAAGGAATGGGTAACAAGAGTCTATGCCCGTTCGTTAGATATAGTTATGTACGGGAGGGGAGGGCTCGGCGGGCACTCACCTATTCTCGCTCAAACGCTGGGGTATACTGGGATAATGATGGACAAAAGAAAGGAACCTGGGGATAGATCCAAGGAAAAGATCAGTGAAGGAGGGGCTATATGAAGAACCACTGTACAAGTAATTGTCCAGGAGGTCCATTTAATGACGCCCAACTGTCAAGCCCACAATATTTACAACAAAGCATGAGAAATTCGGCGCACGCGACCAATCAAACGCGACCGGCCCGGGAACCCGGGTACAGTCGGGGTATTGGGCGGTACCAGCCTGCCGAAAGGTGAGAGTAATGGAAATTCAAGCTTCTCTACCGACTGGGATTAGAGGTGGATCGGTCTTCTAGAAGACGAGCTGGGCAGAGCGAATTGGCGGGCGTGGCGGTGCTGGACCGGGTGGAGTTGCCCTAAGGGGGCTGCCCTGCCCTAACGTGCCCTAAACTCCGCATTGATCTACGGCGTACGATACAGTCGAGACTTAGTACGGCGGCCGATTCTCTGATCGTCTCCAGGGAAAAGAGCAGAAACGAGAACAACTTGTCGCCGAGCGATAAGCCCGCCTCGGCAATAACTCGGAAGCTGTGACTTGTCCTCGGCGCTTCGCGGAATGTTGTCCAGCCAAGACAGCAGCATCGCGTCCCTTTTATAGCCCCGTTAGCGAGAGTGCGCGACAGCCTGCCACACGATCTGAATGTTTCACCCTTATCACCCTCAGCCTCTGTGTCAATGTGTTTTGTAACGATTTGCAAATCCCCTCCAAAGTGGAGCGGACTATATGCAATAGGGGTCCACTTGTCCAGATGATAAGCTGATAAAAGATCGGTGTGCGCCCTGTTCCTGGCGGTTGGACAACGCACACCCCCTGGTCAGCGTGGCTTGTTTCAGGCACCGCATCGACAAGACACCAGCGTGATTCTTCAGGATGCGGTGCCTGACTACTCAATAGTAGATCTATACCAAGGTAGAACCACTCAGCCGGGTCAACAACAATTGCATGTTCTTCTAAGTGTAAGTGGGGTCTTAAATGGTGAGATTCGGCTTCACAATGCTCCATTGACCTTTCAAGTATGGTTAATCCACCACCAGTGCACCAAATTTCATGCAAATAGCTTACTGTATCAAAACTAAAAGCGAATGCCAACTATAGCTGCAATAAATAAAGAGAACGCTTCGAACAGATTGAAATCAAGCAGTCCAGGCATCGAGAAACTCTCCCAGGACAGTTTACAGTGATATTGAAGATGGTTTCCCCGCTCCGATGGGATCTCTCTTACATAAGAATGCAACTACCAGATGTCAGCGTTTCCATATACAAATAGGGGTGATCTGCCTTACCAGCTATTCTGCTTCTTCGCAGAGGTGTAGAACATCTTCGATTGCGAGGACAAACCCTCACTCTAAAGCCCAGTTAGCTCCTTTTCTGGACCCACCTGCCACATGCACAGTAGAGGTAGTAAACCTTACCTTATTGACCAAGTCGTCAATCTTCTCTCCACGCTCCAGGACGCTCTCGATAGTCTTGTGGAGAACAATCTTGGTCTCGTCCAGCTCTTTCTGAATCTTCATGATGCTGTCCACCTGGTGTGGGTCCTGGTACGCCGAGATGTATGTCTTCAGGGAGGGAAAGGGGACCGGCTGGGTGGAGGAGCCCGCGTTGGGGTTGAGGGTGAGGAACTCATCGAGGACCTTGGAGAGGATCTGATGGGCGGCCAGCGAGGGGTATTCGTTGTCGCTGATAATGACACCGGCGATGCCTTGGGTGCGCGCATACACGTGGAATGTGAAATCTGAGGGGCAGTCAGGGGGGAGTTGTCGGGTGGCGACTAGACACGGGCAACCACTTGCCTTGCTCCTGGATATCTTGTCTCTGGCCTTGCTTTGTTCTTTCGGCGACCGTCTTGCTGAACATGGTCATGAACTCGCTGATGCTGCCCCTAGTGAAGCGCGAGTAGCTGGTGAGCTCGCGCTCCGCACACAGCTCCACCGCTGGCTGTTGGGCATTCTGTAGGACCTATCACGCACGAAGCAGGTTAGACAGACACGACAGTCTAACTGGGACCTCCACAGACTCACTCCGATATAGAGGATCTTCATTTTGACGGGCTCCGAGGGGTTTCTGACTGACTGACGTCGTGGACAGTTGGCTGAAGTTTTGCGGGGATCTAATCTCGGAGGCGGAAAAGCGCCTCGCCTCACCGCCTTCGTCCAACCTTATTCGCCTTCCCCCATTTTTTCAGGCAACCACTCACATGCTCCAGTGTCCATAGACTTGTCAGCCTCATCAGTTAGGCAGATACACACGTCCTATCATGATATTCAAGTATTACAGTATTATCCTATGTACAAAACGTATCCAGGTCAAACATCTCAGTCATGTATGACCCACACTATGTATTCCGGCTCTCGGCGGTCAACGCCTCTCTCTCTTCCACAGTCAAATCACTCTTTGCATGGTGAATTCGCACGAAGAACACAACAATCAGGCCACCAACTAATGCCAATGCCGTCTCATACCAGAAAACAGCCTTGAAGCTCTTAAACTCGCCCAGGTGTTCTGTTTCCGACTTGACAATATCCGCGAACCCCAGAAAAACGGCAATGCCGAAGTGTAGAGTGCAATTGATCAGTGCCCCGGCCAATCCCTGTTTGGCTTTGGGCAGATGAGTGGTGATAAAGATGTTTGAAATGTTGAAGCTGATGTCGATGCCGACTGTGCCACAAATCATGGCCGGAAAGACAAACCCCCAATATATCCCACCTTCGGGAATCACAGCGAAGAACAACCCCGAGCCGGCGTATCCAATGCAGGAGATAAGCATGAGGAGCGTGCCCGAGACCTTGTGCATGATAAACCCTCCTGCGGTCGCAAGGATGAGGCCTCCGACCCCCATGGGGGCTGTCCACGCCACGATTTGTAGCGGGCCCGCACCCATGACATCCGACATGCTGCAAAGAAGGTCAACACCAGACTGAAAGTGGGCAGAACGGATTCACTTACTATAGAACTGCGTATAAAAAGTATATGCCGAGACTCCCGTAGAGCAAAAGCAGTGCAATGACTAGCGGCGTCAAATATTTGACTGCAAACAAGTCCCCCGGAAGCAGGGGGTTCTCGACCACCCAGCCTTCCATGTAGACCATAAGTCCCAGAAAAATCACTCCCAGGCAGAAGCAAACTGGGATGTATGGTGTTTTCCATCCTTGCGGTGCGTAGGAACTTTCCGCAATCGCAAACACGAACAGGACAGCTCCTGGTACGGAAAGACAGCATCCGACCCAGTCCATTTTCACGTTGGCCTTTTTCCTCTCAGCAAAATCGCTGGGAACTGAAAAATACGAAGAGATAAACGTGACAGCGGAAAGGATTGCTCCAATGAAAAAGTACCATCTCCAGGAGAGAAACTGACTGCACAAGCCTGAAAAGAAAATACCGGCAAAGAAACCCAACGCCGCACATGCGCCGTAGACGCTGAAAATGAGATTCTTCCGCGGACCGGGTCGATATGTGCTACCCAAGATCATTATTCCCGACGGAAGGAACGCGGCAAGAGCAAATCCTTGCAGAGCTCGGCAAATGATGAGCATTAGCCAGGTTTGAGAGAAGCCGGCCAGGATTGATGAGACTGTCAGCCAGCCTGCCCCTGCAAGGTAGAGCACATAACCCCCGTACATATCTCCAAGTCGACCGAATATGAGAAGCGTGGACGTAACCACGAGAGACAGTGCGGTGGATGGCCATACCACCGACGCTTCTGGGATGTGCAATTCCTTGACCAGCGTCGGAACAAGAACATTGGAGCCAGATATGTAATATTCCTATCAAGGAGTTAGCTCTTCTGAAATATTTGAGCAGCATGCGTGCAATAACTCCATACCGCAAGAATCTGGGACATGACAATCGAAAATCCAAAAGTCAGTTCCGACCAAATATTCGAGAAGCACGGAGGACGTTCTCGGCCAAGTCGCTCGAGATCTAGGTCTGATTGCTGCTCTAATTGCGATGGAGACTGCGGTGTCCCCAGACCAGGAGACCCTGTCTCCTCAACGGACTTCTCCATGTTTGGATCCGATCCACTGAGTGGTGTTTCTGCAATGGGTGCCATGGCTGGCTGGTGTTGACTTGGAAAAATGACAAAGACGTAGTCTTTTCTGGGGAAACCAGTTTTATATCACGTTCTGCATGTTTCTTTTACTAATCGATTCATGGAACATTCAATGAATTTCTAACTACCGACGCCTCGTGCAGACACCACGATCGGCACTATGGAGGGCGTTGAGACGCCATTCCTATTAGGATGAACCAGTTCGGATCATGCCCACCAGGTGGCCAATAGCTTCTAGCGGGCAACTGCAGTCGAATCGCACATCTCTCCACTAACACTAGAAGCGAATTTTTCCGAACCACGTAGCTTAGTGGCCCAGATGTCAGCGTTTGTCTTTAGCCTCAACCTTCCACTTCAACTTCCGTTTTAGGAAGTTGTCGGGAGTGGGGCCAATTCACAGCTTCGCGCCTCTTTCGGGCCTGCTCCATGAATACCAGCATATTTTCGGTTATAATTTCTTTGCATTAAGATCAATGACTCACTGGCTTTGGGAGAAAGAGATTTCTGCTAAACAATGATCTAGTGCTGGTACACTATAATCCGGGAAGAGCGTCCGTGCTTTATAAACGTTCCTCTCGCACCCTCTATGTTCCTCCCTACGATCATCGGAGTTTTCAAAAGTTCTCTATGTTTGGAAGTGGTAAAATAATTGGACCGACTGCCCGTTACAGGTTCTGGAGCCTCTCGAAGGCAGCAGATGTGCATTGAGATTGACAATGGCTTCTATTACAATGATCGCCGGTTGTCACTTATGATCCATTGTCCATTCCCCACGAAACGTCACTCAGATCGCCTAGACTGTACCAACCACAGAGATCTTCGATAGAGCCAAGGGAAGAACTGTTTGTCGTGTCGTTGCTCGGGACATATGTGGCTAGATCAAGACCCCCCTCTCCTCCCCCGAAAGACGGGCCAGCGCTGGAACTGGGCGTTGCAGTATTCCTGCCCACTCCCGCCCCAATTCCGAGCACCGTCTGAGCGATCGTCTGTAGCTCACGCACATTCCTTGCGATTCGCGGCCACACCTCGCCCAGCACCTTGAGACATCCGAGCGTCATCCGGATCTGATCTCTCGCAGTGGCCAATTGAGGACCTTTCAGTAGAGAAGCGCAGGCTGAAAGTAGCGCTAGCGTTCCCTCGCTCACCATGCAGGTAGTGAAAGGAGTGTGATGAAATTCAGGAAGCGGCAGTGCTAGAAGCCGGATCTGGGCCTCCACGGCTCGTAGCACCCGCACGGTGTGTACATTAACTAAATCTGGGATGGGTGTGTCGAGGGGTGGCTCTCGGGCACAACTTGATATATCCTCCACTGCATTGAACTTCAGGGCTGAGAACGGCCGGTGTAACCCGATAGCGGACCTGCCAAATGAGTTCAGACTACGAGACAATGCAAATATTGCAAGGCAGAGTATGAGGGTGAGCTTACACATGAATGAGCAAGTGAGCTTGGAACATTAGCTCGTCGACTTTCCCATTCTTGTCCATGACCTGCTTGCGATCATTCGGTAATAGCAATCGCCATCCGTCCAGACTACTGTCCGCTGCTTGAATGACATGCGTCGAGTCTTCTTTAGTTGCGATCTTCGGGGCTACGGATATCGCCGCTGCGGCACATTGTACGGCTCCGATGAGATATGCAAAGGATGAGAAACGGATGGGTTCAGTGGAAAATTCGCGACAGTTGAACTCTTGTAGCGTGCGAGGCTCGGGTATATCCTGGCCCCCGGTGAGCTATCTCAGCGTTTCCAGGGCGCTGAAACAGGCGTCCAACGAAGCTTTGGGTGGCAATACTTACCCCCGACTCGTACTCTAGCTCTTCACAGGGTAGTTCCACCGTAGGGGAAATGTTCGCGACTCGAAAGTTCATGGTCCCCAGGGTGCCGGTGTAATAGGCGTCCACGGTGTACAGCATCCACCATGTCCGCCTCCAGCATTCCCTCAGCACGGGATCGTCGCCCCCATGCGATGCCGCAAAGTCTGAAAGAAACATCTTCAGCTCAAGGGCAAGTCCAGTGGCAGCGTCCATCTCCTGTTTGGCAGCGTCTTTATAGTCGTACCAGAATAAAGCTATCGAGAGTAGGAATCTAGATTGGACTATGATTGGGTCAGATGGTGATGCCTGTAGAAAGCATGCCTCAAGCTGGTCTCTCAACGAGACTGGCCATTCGCGCGAAGTGTAGATAGATCCTATTAATCGCATCGCAGCAAGAAGGGGTGTGAAGCTGGACTGTCTCTGTGGATCTTGATACAGTCTGGTGAGATGTTTCTGGGGTAAGAGAAAAGGGTGACATCCATGGAATTTCTCATAGTATGCCTTGATTAAGGGGTCATTCTCGATGTCATCGGTGCTTGCGCCCGGATACGAGATGCCTAAGATGACATCGCCAACACTGATCGTCTCGCTCGGCTCAGGGCGCAGGCCCCCCGCCATCAAGGGAGCGGAATGCCCCTGGACCTGCTGAATTGCTGTATATGACTGACGGCTCGAGTCAGAAGTTGATAATGTCCCCTCCCCCGCCGCAAGTCGTTGGCGACGATCAGCCAGGGCTGCGCGGTCTAGCCCACCGCGACGGGATCGTGCGTAGCTACACTCCTGGCCAAGCTCAGTGCAGCGGGCACAGCAAGGCCGCTTGCCATCGCACTTGACATGACGCGAGCGACACGGTAGACAAGCCAGCGAGGAGCGCGTGGCTCGACGACTATGAGAGCTTGATGTAGACGTAGAATCCATGGTGGTTGTTGATCGTCCAGGTTGAAGCGTTGGCGGGTAATCATACAGAGCCGGTAACTAATCGTACCAAAAATACGTCCTTTCATCTGGTAAATCATTCCACTGCTGACGGGTACCCGTAATAGGCTATCCATCAAAATCGAATAACCGTACCAATGATTGTAGTGGCGAGGCCATGTCCACCCAACCTTATCCCACAAAATGAACTATTTCTTTGCCAGGTATTGACGGTACAGGGGCCATATACGGCATGATTTCTAGCTAACAGTAAACTGGCCGTCTGCTAGAAACAAAAGGCTTTGTAAAAGACATTTCCAGTACCGTCATGAACAATATATTTACACGCCCAGTAAGTAAGGAGTGCTTACAAGCCTCTGTCCGCTGTTTTTCAACTGCAGATACCCGCTGCAAGGATATCTGCGAGTCGGGCTTAACCGTGGGAACCCGCAGTCATTCCTCATCCAGGAATTGAGGTGACAATATCGGTATATCGGGTACTCGGTGATCATGAATCCGTGAACAGACCATACCCTCCCGATGGATAGACTCTGAGAAAGCGTAAACACCATTGGCTCGGAGAGTACGTGCGAAAACGAGTTCTGTGAGTGAGGATGAGGAGAGTGCAATGTCATTCGTTGAATGTGAATTGTCTTTTCGTCATCTCACATCCTCACTCTCGTATTGGCGATGTCCTAATCGATCGGCGTTAGGCTGTTGGGAAACAGAACGATTTTGCAGTCTGGTTCCAGACCATCCTTAACGTATAAATAGACTACTTCGCCCGGACTTGAACAAGGTCAGGCTCTAGCTTATACCCAACTGATTCAGTCCAACTACAGAACACCCTTTGGACGTGTTTGATATAACTACATACGTATCCCGCTATGGAAGAGCCAACCTACGATCCGAGGTATGTACATACATCCATGTTAACATGACAGAATACATCTAACAAAGATCTTCGCTAATATGTACAACACCAGCTGTCCTCTTGCGACCACCACTGTGGTCTACCAATATAAGCTGGCCAACTGTCCTGGGAAGACTACAGTGGGCCTGCTCGTCGAATACCCGCCCAATGGTGCCACACCCCCTCATCGGCATGGAGGAGCCTCCGTCTCTGCCTATGTGATTAAAGGTTCGGTGTTGAACAAGATGAACAACGACCCGATGAAGGTGGTCGAGCAGGGCGGGTCGTGGTATGAAGCCCCGGGGTGCCATCATCGGATTAGCGCCAACGCCAGCAAGACCGAACCCGCGACGTTTTTTGTGAACTTTGTTCTTGACACCGAGACGCTGGAGCGAGAGGGACCGGGTGTTCTGGTGCAGTATGATGAGGAGTATAAGGATATTGTCGCCCAGAAGATGAAGGGCTTGAAATAAATGAGCTTTGTTAGGTTCGGTCTATTTGGGGGGTGCTGTCTTATCGTTTTGCTAGGGCAAAATGCCAGCTCCACGTGGGGTCACCTGTATACGCTACGAAACCTATGTGTGTACATATCTCATACCAACAGATGGTGATCAATCTGCAGGTTGAAGGATGTATTAGAAACTCTCCATTTTTGATGAGTATCCAAAAATGTAGATTTATTGCTCAGGAAATGAGTCATTGACCTTGTTCTTCCCATTAGATAGCTCCCCTAGTGGGTTGAGTATGTTCTATACACGGTTAAGAAAAACCGTCAGTAGCAGAACAGGGGAATGCCTTTAAGAGAAAAAAAAAAAAATCTATTAGGGTCCCAAGCATGGTTTCCAGGCTGCACACAGTCTCAATCGCTCGCTAGATTTCCCCAGAAGTTCTTATAACAAAAGTTTGTCACTTCTTACACACGATTGGCGATCTATAAGGCTATTCAGGCCATGTAGTTATCGTATCCCTTCCAGATCACAAAGTGAGTATAAGCTGTGAAACAACGAAGAAGCTTGATGGCGATAAGCGAAATCAAAGTTGATTTGCTTGGCAGATAACGTCCCATTGTGTGCCAATGAGGCAATCGCGAAATAGAACACCTCATCTCATTATGTCACGTAAACTTTCAGGACACTTGCTGGTGAGACATGATAATGCAGGCTATCGATGCTGTCACAGAGATACGAAAGAGCGGTCTTAGACTCAGGTAGCATTGCAAGGCATGCAACTACGTGTAACCGCTAGTCCGAGTCTTTATGCCCGTCTTGCCTTATAATTAGCAGGTGGACACAGATCAAGATCCCCGATAATATACGTCAGGTTTGGAGACCTCGGTGTAGGATCGGATCGACCAATATAGGGCTCCCGGAGGGTAAGCATATTGAACACATCTCACGGTTTACGCAATCGCCAGCAAATATCAGATATATGCGGGAAGTTCTGAACCGAACCGACGGCCAACTATCTCGTGGTCCCTTTAGCAAGGCTCAAAACAGCATTCTCTACTCCGTATTCCATCTACTGTTGCATTAGATGAAGAGGACTCCTATCTGAGAGATGTTTCGGGTTTCAGTCTCTGCAGATTCCTATCGCTGGCACCGACCAATTGGATATTTGGGGGTCATCTTCGTGGCACAAACCGCTCACATGTTGACAATCGCTTAGTATCCGACTATGCACCTTGATTTTCTCCACGAAAACTGGACGGGGACCAAACTCCAGAGTGGAGAAATAAGCCCTGAAAGGCGCTCCGATCGGTGTTTAATTCCGCCCGACGATCGCGGGTCAGCCAGTGTCATGGCAGAGGTTCTGCGTGGGTACCCTATATGGCATGGATGCTATTCCGCCGGAGATGATAGATCTACGCCAACGTGAATTGGCGCTATGCAGGACACACCGACCAGCGCCAGGCTGTTCTTTGTCTGAACGACCCATGTCTATCATGGCCGCGTCGAGAAGGTGCATGGAGGATTTTATTAGTTGTGCCAAGCAAAGGAATTTGCGCGCTCTCCACCGGCAGCGTTGCATTCGTGCAGTGGGGAAGCAAACACGAAGCGAAGAGTCGTCCATTCTTGGCAGGCGGAAAGAAGAAAAAAA